CACTGCATTGTACGATGGTCGTACAACAGCCATACAACCATTGGCCGATGAACCCAAGTCCACTCTCTGTGATGCCGTTTACTGATTGTCGGTGGCAGCCTTAACGTGCACGTCATGGCGTTACATTCTCCCTGGAATCACATCAACCGACACCCATTGGGTGGAGTGAGTGGCTGGATGGATGGATGGTAAACCTTAAAGGCGCAAAATAATTAATATTTCTGAAGTGTCAATCAAACTTAACAAGTGTCCAATCAGAACAGGACCAGGAATTTGCCTCACAAAAATTAATACACATGCTGTCTAATAAAAGCATGTGTTTTCATACATTTATGCAGTCGTTTTGTGTAAATTTAGCAACAACATCCAAGGGGCGGAACTTAGCGGACCGATTAACTTTCGACACGGAGTGACCCAATGCAAGGGTCATTAGAAAGTAAACCTACAAATACTTCACCTGGTGATGAGATCAGTCAAAGGTTGAAAATAATCAATCTAACTCACCTAGCTATGAAGCCTATGAACTTTACAACTAACTCCATCATCACAAAGATCTATCAACATGCTATAGATCCCCCAGCTATTAAGACCTATCAACCACAACTAACATAGCCATCAATGCAACATTTCTACCATACGTGGGCTGCTGTAATAACATTTTAGGTCATATTATTTTTAAATTTTAATGCCCTCACCTTGCATACTTGTGCCAGATACCACATAAGTTGTCCTATATTATTGACAATGCCTAGGATGATATTCAATGGAACTGAAGCATATGCTACCAATACAGATCAAAAGGATTTTGCCTCCCCACTACATGGATTTTGCCTCCACAACTACATTATAATTGAACTGACATACACATCAAATTATTTTATGAATATTTCATTATTATATTCATTAATAAGTTATTTTTATCTCATTAATTTCAGTAATCATTAATATTCATAAAATATAAATATAGATATGTATATATACTGTGTATATATACTGTATATATAGTCTCTTATACACATCTAGATGTGTATAAGAGACAGAATTTGGACATGTCGTAAAATTATTCATCATTACAACCAATAGAAAAATAAGTTACTTCTAATTCTTTTCTTGAAAATAATGAATGAATATAATACCTACCATAGAAAAGTTTACTACTTTTTTTAAATAAACGAAATGACATACCTACAAAATTATTTAATGAATAATTTATTTTCTCATTAATTATTCACAATTTTGACCATTAGAAAATCACTGTACTTTGTAATAGTTTCTTGAAAACAATGTATGAATGTTACCTACAATATACATATGGTATGTATTTGGGGAATTTTTAAAATTATGTGTTGTTAATGTACTTCAAAGCAAATATGTCTCATTAACACTTCTTTTGACCTCAAATCAATATAATTCAAATCTAGCACAGGAAACATTACTAGTCAACGAAATTAAAAGCAATTTGGTCATGATGGAACCAGATTTTATGAAAATGACTTTATAGGCCTACACAGAAATATGTAGGAGGAATATATCTATTAATATCGCTGTCGTGTGGTATTCAATTCCTATTTTAAACACATGATCATTCCTCTAGAATTCCACCAGTTCATGGTGTCTACATATAGTATGCGTCAGAGAGAATATTGACATCTACAATAAATCGCTACGTAGTTTTTTGCATTCTGTTAGCTAAGCTGCAAAATGCACTTTTCTTTCTATGCCACAAGCCAAGCCAAAACATTATCATCGCCAGGTGACACATATACATTCTGAAATAAGGTGAACTACTGTAGCTTCGCCTAAGGTTCTACCAAAGACGCTACATTTGACTTATGGAGATGTTGACCTTTTACTGATAATTAGACCACTTAATCAGTACTGTACAATTACTTTATATGATTTTACTTTTCATCAAATCATACAAATATAAAATTGCACAGATTAACATCAGAAAACATGAAACAAATTATAAAGAAAAAGTTGTAAACAATCATCATTCTATATAATAAACTATATTTTGTTCATTTTCAGGAATGAGATGGCTTAGTTTTAAGAGTAAAAATTGTAATCATCCCTCCTTCCATAATCACATTTTATCTGGTCTGAGGCTTAAGACATGTTTATATTGGTTTGATAGAAGACAATGTTATATGTTTATCTTCAAGAAATCCTGAAAATGAACGAATAAAGCTGCAATTTATTTTGAATCTCCCTGGCTTGTATCAAATTCTTTAGAGTTTGTTTCATGCTGTTTTACTGTATGTCAAATTTATTGGTGAACCCCACGGTAAAGAATTTTTACTGCCAGTTTATGTGTTTACAAAGCAAAGGTGAATAACACATGTACACCCATTTTTTATTCTAGTATGCCATAGAATTCTACAACATAAAAGATGCATGGGAAACCCAATATGCATACATTTTATTTTAAAGACAGAGTATAGTAACATATCAATAATAGAATTTACACAGTGTATTCAATTTGAAAGTTCATTCAGAACTAATTAAATGTTTTTGTTATTTTTAATTCAATAATAATCCTATTAAGAGATAGATCATATATCAAACTGTACACTGATGTGCATTATGACATTGATTGACAGAATTCTGTATTTAGCATAAGTTATCATTAATAACAGATTTGTTGATTATCTCACTGATACAGTAATATAGCACCCCAAGGGGGTACTTATACACCATTGTTCCTCAAGTTCACATCACTAATAATTGGTACTAAGGGCAGACACTGGAGTGAATATCGATAAGTGAGATGTTCTTGGGAGATACTGTAGCAAGTAGATATGAGCAGCAACCATTTATGAATACAAAAGGAACAAAACAAAATATATGTTTACACCCATTATCCTTGTTTACTGGGGGAGATAACATGTATGTTTGCCTGTAGTCAGCTACTATAGCAGTTAAGATATTACATAGTATATCTTTTAATATTAAATGCTATTAAATGCTATTATTTGGTTAGAAAATTCTAATTCACTTGTTCTCTCTGATAATGAGAATACTAACACAAGGTTCAAAACATAATTGATTTACACAAAATTTAATTTCCTCTCATGGTAATAAATTTAATATAGAGCAGATGGCAGGAAAAAAAAACAAGAAAATATGGTCATTAAAAATAAGCTAATACTTTGTAGATATGTTAAAAAAACAGACAGCGATCAGGGGCGTTACAACCAACTTTGAAGTGGGATGTTAGATAAGACCTGTTAGCTGAAAATTTGAATATAAATGTCACAGAACAGTATTAACTTCTAACAGAATTATAGACAATATTTCAACAATACTGTAAGTATAATATTAATCTTACAGTTTTAGTTTATGTAGATAAAATTTCCACTGAAAAATATGAGACCCACTTATAAAAACACTAAATAGACTGTTTAAGCAAGGGCTGTATACTGTATTTGAGGGTAGGAATCTGGTGGTTAACAATATACAGTAATTGTTAAGGGTCTCCAAAAATTGACATGGCCATTTATTCAACGTTTCGCTCATATTTAAGCATCATCAGGAATATTATTATATTATTTTATTAATATTATTCCTGATGATGCTTAAATAAAAGTGAAACGTTGAATAAAATGACCTTGTAAATTTTTTGGAGTGACATTCATTCTATCTGTACTTTAACTCATTTACATCCTAATTGTCTCCTGTTACACTCCTACTGTACACATTTGGAGTCCTTAAGAGGTCCCTTTACCCACCAGAACCAGAAAAATCAATATCAATATTTTTTTTATAGCAAAGAGTCAATGCAAGCTGAATTCTTTGGATTACGTTTTAAAGGAAGTTGAGTTTAATTTGATACTTATGAAGGGTTTTTCCAGATTTCACTTTACAGATCTTTTTAACAGTACAATCTGACTAATGCTATTTAATATCAAACAGCTAATGACTAAAAATACATACGGAAGTTATAATTTTCAGACCTACAGACTGGTTAATGTTCACCCACTGAAACAAACTTTTTATGATATGACAGTATCACTTTAGAGTGAAGTAAGCCTTTCTTGTAATTCCTTTGGAAAAACCCTGTAAATTTGGATGAGGATACCTTTAAATATATAGTGTACTATACTTTCTGGAAATCTGGAAAGCCCTCAGATATATAATTGAAACAGAGTATCCTGAATTTAAATGCTGAATGTTGAAAAACACCTATGCTTTGTACATGAATTATAAACTCAATAAACAAATGATACCAAACTAAAAAACAAAAAGCAAAAAGCGAGCCAAAAGAGAATCGTTAGCAACATTGGGACGGATGCAGGATTTGGCGGCAGGGGGTATAAGAGTTCACACCACCTCAGCCCCAACACGGTTGTGGCTGAAGTGAGAACATTTTGAGAATATGACCTCTATATGCCTGGAAATTAAACTCTCATACATAAAATAAATCTTACCGCTACTTCATATCAACAATACAATACAATTTACCTGCATCTACCCAGCAACAGACCATGAGACAGTCAATAAACATGTCTCTTATACACATCTAGATGTGTATAAGAGACAGCATTACATAAAAAGAAAAAGCACCAGATATTAATATTAAATAGTACCACAATTAGCAGCTGAGAATCTGAAAAGATTATTGTTCCAACCAAATTGGCAAAATGAGAAGTTTATTATGCTAGGTGTTAATATTAGTTAATAACGATATTGAACATCCTTTGTGAAAGCATATTAATTTAAAAAAAACAGGTATTATATGCATGTGTGTGTGTATGTATGTATGTATATTTGTATGTATGTATATTATAACATATTCTATATTATATATTTTTATAAATATATGTATTTAATGTTTTTTTGAAATTGAAATGATTAAAATGTTGTAGCATTTGTTGTAGTGACAACTTAATACCTTGCCACTATAGTAATGTAAAAACAGACACCAACAACTGTGACAACACCTAGACTGTAGGCACTCCATTAAACCAATTCAGAATATTTTTTAAAAGTGTACAAACCGAATTATCGCCTTTAGTTCCACTCCTACTGCTTGTAAACTTGATCAATTAGATAAATTAGTGTCCCGCCAACTTCAACTCTCTGCCCACGTCGTCGTCTGCCAATCTGAATGAAGATGAACAGAGAAAATTACAGCATGAGTTTGATTTCAGATAACACACAGGACCGTAAGTTCCATTCAGGAATTGAATCTGGAATCTTAAAATAGGTATGTTGTCTTTATTTTAAAATTAAAACATTCATCCATTCCTATCCACTTATGGATTCCTCAGGGGTCAAAGTGTATGAGCATCATTAGGAGAGATAGCATCTTCCTTTGCACTTATTTGCATCATGTCAATTTATTTCCAACTGAACATCGCCCACCTGGGAGCGAGCCAAACCAAATTAAAGCTCATTTTTAATTACAGGTTATCTAACTGCTACCACACAACAGTCAATATTCATACCACACAATATCATCATATACATATTAAATCAACTTTCAAAGTAAAAGAGTTCGACTATCATATCCTAAAAAGCACCTGACAAGTATGTCGTCATATCGGCAAATCATTGTACACAGGTCTACTTGGAAGAAGACATTTGTTGACTTAACTGCAGACCCAGATTCTTAATTGTATTAGAACATATGCCTTCACGATTAAGACCTGCAGATTCATATTGATTATTGAGTCCGACTTCAGCTATATTTCTACTATGGTACCTTCACTAGAAAGCATGTACACATTCTTAATGGGATAGAATAACATTAAGGTCATCATACATCATGAAAATATATAATAATAATATACGGATATTCATATGATGGAAAAGTACCGATCAAGATGTAAACCAAGATCCACTACATGACAGGAAACATAATGTGATTGTCGAGCATATTTCACTTTCTCATCATAAATGGACCTTAACTTTCTCATAGGAGCTTGTGCTTTTATAAAGAATTGTAAAGAAATTTCACTTTAGGCGAGAGTTTTTTATACCTTGTTTAAGAATTGCCATAGGGGAATGGCTAAATATATATAAACTGCAAAGAAGAAACAGAAGAAAATTAAAATATGTTATTCTCATTCAAAATCATTAGTATCAGCAGACAAAGAGTTTGCTAAAAAAAAAGCCTTGCCTTAATTAGCTTAATATTCTTACAAGGAAACAGTTCTCATTTTATCAACAAAAAATAATAAAAACTACTGTACTGTATTTCTAGTTAAAATATGACATTCATGCATCAAAAATGGACTTGTGCCAATAAAATCATTGTAACTTGACAAAAGCACTGCATGTTCGTCATCACTTTATATCTGTACTATGTCAACTATTACTATATTACAGTATAGTTAAATCAGTGAATAGAAATCAGAGTATTTCAAAAATGTTTACTCCTGATTTTTCCCTTAAATGATGATAATAATCATAGAAACAATTTCACTGACAGAAAGTGTTTCTATGATTTCTATCGTTATCCAAGTTAAAAATTATGACAAAACATTTTTAAAATTACATACACCATCATTTCTATGCTCTAGTTGATACTTTTTATTTTACTTAAAAATGGCCAACATATAGGCCTATTTTTTATCTTTTATTAGGGATTATTATACATCTTCAAATTATTGTACATTTAATTCCAATTAAAGTAAGGCCTATTTTAATACATTTGGTTTTGCAAAAATAGACCATCAGAATGACATTTCGCAATACTGGTATCTCTAAGGAGTTCAAAAGTATTTTCTATATAATTGCCAAACCCCCATCAGCTCTTCAGAATGAGCACTGCACTACACTAAATATTTACTATCAAGAAAGCCTTGAAAACAAATACTATCTAAATATTTGATCTATGAGCTATACTTACAGAAACTGTTTAGATTTAGGTCATTCACTTTTACTACAATTCGTTAATTTTAAGTACTCATTACAGTTACTCATCAGTGGATCAAATAACTTGACAGAGACACATATTTTGAAAAAAAAAAAATGTACTTCCGAAAGGTTCATAAAATGATCCATGTTTGATTTGTATCTTCCTGCAAATGATATGCAAACAAATTGTATGTGGTATTTTTATCAGTCAATTTATGATGAATACTGTAAAAACAGACAACCTGAAATTTAGGCTAAATTGGTTTGCACAACAAACTTATGGGTAGCTTCATTTATTGAACAATTAAATTCTAATAGCTAGATTTGTCAATGGAAAATATCCTAATGTACAGTAGAATATGTACAAAGTTATAGTAATCATTATTGTTAATTTTATTAAACAAAAAGTTTACCGATAGAAGTAAATTATCTCTGAAAATAATTCTATTTATTAATAAACTCTTAATGGTACTTTGTAGTATTAGGTCAGAAAAGTAATGATAAATTAACAATATTTAAATGAAAGTCTGTCATGGAAAACACCCAAAATTTAATTAAAGCATGATGTCCTAGTATGAGAGAAAAAATGCCAAGATATACTGTAAAGAAGACAAACATAAATTTCAGTATTATTAAAATTTTTCCTTGCATACAGTAAACTGGGAGTTATTAAATTACCCTGCACAATTCAAAATGGCCAATAACTTCCCTGAGGAAATTTTAAGAATATTACTAAATTAAAGTAGCAATATACAGTAGCTTAAGTTGAACATCAGATATAATTATAGTTGGAAATGCTGGTCAAAATTGAAATATCCACATTACAAAAAAATGTTACTATACCTTATATTTACCATCATAAGTCTTCTTAAAATTTAGTTAAAATCATATAAAAGTTTAAAGAGATCCTTATATTCTACTTTAATATCTCTCATGGGATATGATAGGAAAGAAGTTCATTTATTGATACGATGTTGATAATTTTACAACATGTAACCTTAGAATTTGAGTTGAGAACTCAGCAAGCCTGCTGCTGTTCCATCAATCGCAACAAGCCTGCTGCTGTTCCATCAATCGCAACAAGCCTGCTGAGCTGTTCCATCAATTTCTCTGCATTAAACTGTAATAATCAATGCAAAAATGAAATCAAATATAGCAGAAAGTCATTTGTGAAAGTGACAAAAATGATACAGAAATTAATGAGAATGACAAATATGCCAAAAAAATATCATCATCTGTGGTAATGTCATCGTTTGAACTGACATTATTCTTTTTAATGACAAGTGATATATATTCAACAACGGGAAAAATGACAAATAGATAAGAAAAAAAATTATTTGGGATTACGTAAATAACGGCATACAAATTGATATAATGCCTGCATTTTGTAAGGCTAATTTCTTATAAATATTTTATAATGATTTGATTTCTTGCAGGGAGCCAAAGACTATATCTGCATATCCTAACAATAATAATTTGTCCAACCAAAAAAATTATATTATACTCAAATAATGTATAAGAACAGCCTAAAGACAGCAAAAATTACCCCTGGCATTTGTCAACAATTATCAGATGCCTACAGTATTAGACAGACCCCCTTCCTAAATGAATATCCTAGTACTTTCAGCAGACATAAATAAATCTCTTCTAAAAATTACTATTGCAATGCTGTAGTTATACCAAAAAAGACAAAATGTTTGATATTTCCTACCTCAAGAATATTTTTAATAGTGTATCATATCATAATATTTTATAACACAAAAAACATGGTAGGTAGAGTAGTGCTATTTGTAGTAAAACTGCATGGCTTTAAATATAAAATAAATATACAGGTAAGGATCAGTAGTAGATATACAGAGTTACTGTTATTTTAGATTAGGTCTACAGTGCATAGTATCATGAATGTATTTTTACAGTATAAATAAGTTTTTCTACATTAGTATAATTTTACTGGTTATTTTAGGATTATTCTTATATTTTAATAAAATCAAATATTCAAAACTATAAAATGTCATAAAGTAATTCATAAAGAAAATAAGATGATGTTATTACACTCCAAAAGTAAGTATTTAGTTATTAAAAAAAAAGTGCAAAATGCACTGAAGTAAATCTTAAGAAGTCAAAACATCCTCATATTCATTATATGAGTATCCGTATGTGTCTACAACTATGTATGTTTTGGTAATGTCTGTGTTCCTGTTCATTAAAATAATAAATAATAAGCCCAACAAGGACACATGTTTGAAAAACGTATTGACCATAAGGTTTAAAGTGGTTCTTTGGGTTTTTTATGTTCAAAGAGTAAATAAGGTAAACTATAAAAAAAATTGAGAAAGATTTAGGCCCCTAATTAAGAGAAAAAAAAAATTGAAAAATATACTTCATAATGTCAATGACATAAGGGTGTAGGCTACAGCATACAAATGAAATACTTTGGTGAAGACTAGAATTGTATAAAAATGATAATTAGATAAATAAAAAAAAAAAAGAATGTAATAATAACTAAACAAGATTATTTATGGCTTTTAGAAAGATTACTTGAATTTGAACCTGGTGTTGTGATTGCTTTAATAGGATTTCATCTTTATATACCTCCACAATACTCGTACAGTAGGGGTAAAGTGACAAGTTTGGCTGGCCCATGGGGTTTTCGACAGCCGCAACGAAGTGCCAGTACCTACGTAAAAAAAATACCAAAAAAATATTCCACTTCTCATGTTGGGTTTGAGTAATCAGACACAATAGTGGTTGGGTTACCACCAACTTATAGCAGCTGACTGAGTTATGCTGTAGTTGTCTGTACAGTGTGTAAAAAAATATATACAAATGCTGATTCTAGATTTTGAAGTGAAGCTTCTAATTAGCAAAGTGGAAGATTTGATGCTATTTACCGTATGACTTAATAATAAGTGAATGAACTTTAGCTCTGAGCACAAATATCGCATCGTCTAAAGGTAAATCGTTAGAGAATGCGTAAACCATGAATGTGGGAAATTAAATTGGATCAAGACGTGATGTATTCCACTAACTATTGATGAGTATTCGCATTATCTGGTCATACTGGTAATGGAGAGGTCATGAACATTGTCAGCTGAGAAAATGAAAGAAGGTGGAGTGTCAGTTGAGTGACAGAAGCAGAGCTGAAGAAGCTGAAGAGCATAATGGTTTCAGCTCTAATCGATCCTACTGAAATGACGTCATGCTTATTACTGTATAATTATCATGTAATAGGATATCAAGCA